ACGTACGGTAGTATTCTCTGATAGATTGTTACTGTATTGCACTAACTTAAAACTAGTTCGTAATTATTGTACAGTTCTATTATTTGTAGTAAACTACTACTACTATTGTTGATGCAAGAGGAGCATCACGATAGACTGATAATCATCATTGTGTGYCACCATCTCTGACCTGTGTAGGATTATCTGTTGCCTTGTTGSAAAGCAACATTTCCYGAAGTCATATTTTTTGAATGGCAGATTGAGACCAAGTATCGTCAAGCGAAACAAAAGAATTCATTCTGTTTGATTCGTCAGAAAGCTCCTTGTTGCACAGAGGTAGCATATTTTCATCCCCGTCGCTAMTTTTCCATGAAGCAATCGCCTCGAGTTTATTAGAGCTCGTCCGTAGAACTAGATTTGTTTGCGCGTTGTGCAGAGACAATGCTGGCAATACAGAATCCGACTACAACGAGCGTGACCAAGACGACCTCTCTCAAAACAGAAGCTCCCGACCGTTCTAATTTCTTTTGGTACATGTGCTTGTCGTGGCCAGTGTCAAAGTGCAACGGAACAAAGTCGACTCTGCGGTATCTGTTGACGTTGGACCGGTGTTCATTTTCAAGCCTAAAGAACCCCCAAACAGTTCGTCGGAAGAGTTCCAGAATTACTTGCAGAGAATACAGGTATGCAGGAAGTGCAAAGCTAGCGCCCGAAGAGGGCGGTAATAATGTCAACACCCACATGGACCGCAAGACTAAATCCATGGCGATGGTAGCATAATAGGCATACTTTTTTGGATACATCAATCTCGGGCCTAGAAAGCCGTAACTCTTCCTTCCCAGTCCCCAATCCATGTAGACATCCCAAGTAAAGGAATAAATAGAGGACGCGAAAAAGAGAAACGTCCAGAAAACTTGGTAAACTAGTTCACGGCCCGACTCAACTTCCAGATAGAGAGGATGAAAGGCTCCGGTCAGCGTCACTAGCTGCGACAAMGCGTATTTTGATGCATTCGCAAGGTGTGGGAATCGATCTCCACTATCGGCATATTTTCGCAAACACTGGTTGAACCGAAAGACAAGTGGGAGCATACATATGATCGGGTTAATGACATTTTTGAAGTAATGCGTATGCGACCAATGTCCAAGATTTTCCTCGGTGGTTCGTTCTGCTAGGAGGAAATCACCACTAAGTACCCAAAAGAAGCTATTTGAAAGTATATACAAATAAACCGAAAACCGTACGCCATGAATAAGATTTGCCATGAGTAGATTAATCGCATTACATCGATAGACCACACGAAAACTGGAAAAAAAGCAAAATTAACACACTTACGTCCAGTTCCAATCAACCAGGACTTTAACAAGACTCGTGAATATATCACCCACATAGGTCTGAAAAAAAGTGGGCTCGTGACATGGAGCTGTAATCACCTTGAAGATAGTCCTCCACATTGGAAGTCTTATTTTTAGAGGGAAAACAAGTTTCCACATGGTAACGAACACAAGAATCAATGGATAGCCTCCAGGGGGGATCACTTGTGGTATGTCATGCGCACCAGCCTATCAGCACGAAACGATGGAAAAAGTAAAAATTAGATACAAATGAAACTTGGTTGTCTGCATGTCTATTTGGAATCAAGATATTCACGCCGCGTCAATCAGGTCATCTCGTAGAAATTCGTTCCATGCCAAACAGAAAGTTTCTACTCACCTTGTAGTACAGCTGTTATTGTCGGAATACATGTGCAAAATAATGATGGAGAAGCAGGAGGTTGATTCCACTGGTTATGAGATCAAGTATWGTCGACTGCACCTACGGCTKACTAGTGGTGATCAATAACTTACCAACATCAACAAAAGGTAAATAAGCGTACTGTCCACGGCTTCACGRATTAGCTCCTTGGGTGTTCTGACTATTCGAGGATTGAAGTCGAACAAGAAAATATAATTGACACGATACCGAGTCCACATAAAAACACTGCAACCCCAAAACCATTGCAGCAATAGGAGACCTCCACAGGCCCGAAAGACAGGAAATCCATATCTAGCTCCTATYGTTGTTTTGCCATAGGCAACCATACCCCAGACCAAGTCCCAGCAGACCCATAAAGCTAAAATTGCACACATTCCCATCCGATAACCAAGCTGAAGTTGGGACCAATCCATATCTAGACCATCTCCTCTTTTTACCAGCATCTGTGCCTTGGCTTCTCTCAAGTCACCACTGCAGAACCAATTGGCGTAGTACTTTTCATACTTGTTCGAAAGTATTTCAACTGCTTTCGCGTCGTTCAACATATTGTGGTTCTCTAGCGCATTTTCGAAACGGCCTTTTTCAGACGGAACAGTCTTGTCAAACTTCTTCACGATTTTGACAAACCCTGTGATGTTCATCATGGCATAGTTTTGTAAAAGTTTTGCCAGACGGTATTGGTCTACCAGAGAACGCCTGATTGTCTCGGCTTTCACGACATTTTCATGGTCCCAGTCAGGGTCATCTTCATAATCTTCGTCGGTGACACCTGAGAGGTTAGTTGGATTCTCTTTCAATATTTTTCCCATGCGAATTTGAGAGACACGCATCTTTGGTCTCGTATCAGAGTGTGTTTCATCTTCATCTTCGTTTTCGTTCCCGATCGATCTAACACTTTCTGTCAGTTGAATGATGAGTTCTTCTAGATGTTCTCCAATTGATGATTTTTTTCGTCGATGCGATGGAAACGGCGAAATTATCTCTCCTTCACCTTCCGACATGGACRTGTCGGTTCTCCCACCACTATCAAAGGTATGTGTATTAATTGCATAATCTCGTTGAACCCAGTCCACAATTGACTGCAGTCKTTCTTCAAGACTTTGGAGCTGCGAATAGTAAAAGCATACAACCTTTTTCTGTTGTTTATTGAATAGACCATCAAATGCGGATGTTTGGAAATCAATTTCTTCAAGGCTCTTTCTTATTTTTCGTTCGAAAGTATTGTTTAGTTCGTTTGAATTTAGCATGTTACTTGCCATTCCTGAAATAACATTGACGATGCTWGTTGATATAAATGAGTCGTTCGAATCTGCGTGMTTCAAGAGGGGACGTATTTCGGATGCTTGTCCTATTTCCACATCGCCACTGGCTCTGAGTTCTTCTGCGTCTGATTCAGACACAATTGTTGAAAGACTTCCCTTTCTCGTCAAGGGTGTAATCGAATTTATGTCTTGCGTCGACAACAAATGCCTCATTTCATTATATTCTCCCGATCGGTATGCCTTGGTAATTTTCTTTGCTGTGTTTGGATTTTCTTGACACGTTTCTTCATACTTCTTCTCTGCCTTTTTCGCCTTTTTCAAAATCTTTTTCAGAGCTTCGTAATCAATGTAGTGCTCGCTCCATTCGGAAACCTTGTTATCTTCAAGCTTCAAACCGAATTCGACCATGTTTATACTCTGCTAACTAAGTCACTGTCGCATCTGTGRCAATCCAATGGATTATGTGAACCTCTTGAACTTGTGTTGCTTACTTTTTTCAGTGAACAAATTTCTTGTTATGAACGGTTGCAGTTTCGACCGTAATGAGGATTTTGGAATTTCAATTTTCTTACATTCCCAGTCAACTAGTACTACTAACTCCACTGTGGTTTATGACATTTGTTTTGTTTTTAGTACCGACACAATAGTACTTAATTGTAATTTTAAATCCCCTTCCTGGTACCAGTTGAGAACTTGAAGTGATTGCTCAAAAAGTAAAATTGGACCGTGCTTAAAATTTTCATGTCATACCGGTGAATTTCCGGAATTTTCGCTAGACTCAAGTTGATGACGTCTACGTTATTGCTACTTGAGCTTAGTAGTAGTACTAGTACTAGTAGTAGTAGTAGTAGTAGTAGTAGTAGTAGTAGTAGTAGTAGTAGTAATAGTAGTAGTACGACTACTACTACTAATAGTACTTGCAATACTTGCTTGCAGCAGTACCAAGTGTGATGGTAGTACTAGTACTCCTATCTACTACTACTACTACTACTAGTAGTGCTAGTATTACTAAAACTTGGGAAACCTCAGGGGCGGGAACTTTGTTGTGTCCTTCCTCCTACTACATGATATACAACAAGTTGCTGATACTACTATGAGCTGGTGGTGATACAGAGGATGCTGATACAGAGGATGCTGATACAATCCAATAAAGTTGCTGATACGGACGAGGAGTTGCTCCTGATATGGAGGACGAGCCGCTGATACAGAGGAGCTGCTGATACAGAGGAGGAGCCGCTGATACGGAGGAACCGCTGATAAAGAGGATGCTGATAAGAGTTGCTGATACAGAGGATGTTGATACAAGTCACCACTGATATAGAGGAGCTGCTGATAGTACTAGTATGGAGGAGCTGCTGATACGGAGGATGCTGCTGGTGGTACAGAGGTTGCTGATACGAGCCAGCAGTAATAAAGAGAACGCTGATATTGAGGATGCTGATATGGTGGATGCTGATAGAACAAGTTGCTGATACAAGTTGCTGATACGAGTTGCTGATACTAGTAGTACTAGTACTAGTACTAGTAGTAGGGAGGACGAGTAGCTGGTGCTACTAGTACTACTACTACTACTAGCTAACAACTACTACTTGTCCCCTCTAAGCTTAGTTTAATGTTATAAATAATGTGTTTCCATTGTTGTCAAGATATACCTCCATCATGTGTCTGTTTATTATGGAAATTACCTTGTTGTGCTCATTGATGCAACAAGTCCTCAAGTAACTCCTCTGCTCAACCGATGGCATGGTGGTGGTGGTATGGCGGCAGTAGGAATCAATACAATGTACATGGAAGTAGAATGGTACATGATTTCCTACTGTTGTATTTTTTGTTGTATTTCGTACTACTTATGTCACTAGTAGTAGTAATACTCTACTTGTAGTAGTAGTACTATTAGTTCTAATGGTTGTAGCACTAGTAGTAGTAGTAATTCTTCCGAGAAAAACTTCGTTCGTCCGCTGTCCACACGGTTCGATAGAAACAACATGAGCCACTCAAATCTTTTTCCTAAATTTTCATTGATGGACGTCACGAACATCTGAAGATCTTTACCAGAATAACGAGTACATTCGTACTACTGTTTCATAGTAATACTGCTCTGTTGAAACGAAAAAAAGGATGGTACATAAACCTGATCAACATAATTATTTCCGAGGCATCATTCCTTCCCCACCCTTAGGTCTTACTTCCTGAATGCGAAAGGAACGCAAACRATGACGAAGGACGACGAAATGCGAAGAGTACAAAAATTAGTATGCTCCTCATAACGTTTGCATTCGTCCTTTCCTTGCCACGATGCTGTTGTTCACCCTATCCATTTGCTAGACATCATTGCATGAAGAACAAGTGAGATCAAGAGGATTCACATCTTCAAAAAGTCGCATCTTCAAAAAGTCGTTGGACGCGGGAGTGAAAATGACTTCGTCATCTTCTCCACGCGAAACTATTCAGATTTCTTTGGGGACTTCCGCCAATGCCATCACAGCACATTTGTTGAATCTTCAGGGACTCGCATCAACATCTTCATCTTCCGACCATGTCTTCTGCGACGCAGTTACCACTCACTATGTTCAAGGTAGYGGTTTGGGAGGGGGAGGCACTCTGGTCCCTCGTGTTTTGTTGATAGACCAGGCGACCCATCAAGTTCCAGCCTCAATGACAACGGCAACTGAAGGGGCAGCGACAAATGCTTCTTCGCTTTCCRTGAATCTAGCAGATGCCTATCTTACAAACCTCCATACGGATTCGTTTTGGAATGGTCAGATTCAAGTTCTCGGCAATGRCACTATGGCGTTCAGCACGGGTCATCAAGCACTAGATCCATCTCAAAGCACCTCGCCGTTGCTGAAGGCAGCTTCTTCCATGGCATATTCTTCACACTCTAGATATTACATGGATAGAGGCAACAACTATCCTGATCGTCAATATCGCACAGACCCAAGCAATTCAAGACATGTCGTTTGGGATGACGATGAAGAGTACGATGAAGAGGATCCCTACGAGCGCCTTCAGCGTGAACAGCAAAACGAACGGCGCTGGAGAACACAAACTTCGTTGGCCCTTGGACAAGAATTGAACAATCTTATGGCAGAAAATTTCCAAGAGGAACGAAACGAAGTGCCCTTAGAATCGGGTCAATCATCAGCACAGCGATTCTGTTTCAATCACTGGACAGATATATGGATGCCTCCTCGTGACGAAAAGTCTAAAGTGATTCTTCCTTTCTCGTCGCAGTCGCAGCTTGTCCCCCATTGGAACGTAACATATCAATGCAACGGTGATAGCTGTGGTAACAGTGTGCCTTTTTTGCGAGAGTGGAAAGAAGACGTATTATTTGAAAATGTGCGGCACATGCTAGAAGCTTGTGATCACGGGATACAGGGCGTTTCGATCGCTACCGAAGGTCACGGCATTTATGCATCTCTGGCAACATACCTTCTAGATGAACTAAAACAAGAATGCAAGAGCGCCGGTCGCTTAATCTATCACGTTACAGGTGATGGAAAAGAAAGCGAAAATGAAACTACTTCTAGCAGGAAAAATCCAAGAAGTGAYGACGACGTCAGWTTTTCCGCTCCGTCTTCGCGCTCATGGCAAGAGGCGCAAGTAGATCGGATTCGACAACAGATCTGTCTYGGCTTGGTCTTAAATGACTTCACCGAGAAGGCACATGCTGTTTTGCCTCTTCAATTGCCGGGGGATTGTTATACMGGTACCAGTGGGTCCTCTTCGCTGTCGTGGTTCCGGTCCACTGCTCGGGTTGCAATGGCMTTGGAAGCTAGCACACTTCCATTCCGTCTGAATGAGAACAATACCAATTCGGTAGGGGGGTGTCTTCCGGCGCACCGAATCGGCCTACAAAACGCTCCATTCCTAGCGTCGCACGGAAGCTCTGATTCGTCGTGGGGGACTACTGCCTCGCGCCTTACCTTCTCCGAATTCCTTCAGGTTTTGCAGCCCTCGAGTTCACACTCAATGTTAGAACTGGATGTTCTTACACAACACATGGGGAACCAAGAGTTGTACAATCTAATTCAGGAGGGGACCAGTGTCCAACGGGATCAGCGCATGAGACAAAGCCGTGGGCATAGCTATCGAACACGTCCACGGGATGTATCTCCAGGCGCTTGGATGCAAAACAGAAGCAGAGGTCTTCTTTCCTMTCTTTCGCWCCCCAGTTCCGACAAGAACTCGCACCTGAATCTAGACCGAACTTTGCACCATCACTTTGCCCTGAGCACATCGGTTCGACCGATTCTGTCGTTGCCTTCTGACAAAACCGAGGGGATCTCGATGTCGAATTATCTTACCTGTTTAGTACAAGGCATGGGTATCCAGTACCGACCAGAAAGATCAATGGCCACCGTCCTGAATCAATCTCTTGGACAGTTGACTTTTGGTGACGATGGCGGCGGGAGAAACTACGGAGCAGGCATCTATTGGAAGTATGTTGTCCCCCATGTTGAAACACCCGTTCTTGCCGTTTTGGGAAATACAACGAGGTCCTTCGCACAACTTAATCGGACGGCAAACGACATGAAAGCAGCAATGAGAACTCCCCGTTTCCGTGGTTTCTACAATCGTGACGTCTCGAATGGAGTTCTTCCTGAGATGGAAGATTGCGACGAAGCTCTGGAGGCGTGCTTCAATAAACGTGATGTGTATCAGCCACCGTCAGGCTCGGGACTAGACTTTGACGAAGATTACTGATTTCGCTTGTAAAGGTAAGAACTTACATTTCCGTTTTYGTTGAACCACAAAATAATGCAAATCGACGACGGTTGCCTTTGGCTMAGTCACCTGATCGGTCGCAATTCATTTTCAGTGACGATAGCTCCGTCGGGCGGACAGAAGATGTCGTGTTGATTCGACGCTAAGTGTACTTTTTAGATATCTGAGAAAATGAATTTGCAATCGAATGGGTACCCGAATCGAACAATCCGGATCCTGGTTTGTTTCTTTGTGGTTTCTGGCCATGAATGCTCTTTTTTCCAAGTGACGTTACAATTATTATTTATCTACATTCTCTGATATGCCAGTGACGATAAACAATATTCGCTTTACCTGGCTGATGGAAYAAGAGCTGTTCATGGCACACAAAAATATCTAGCAACCATCCGATGCGTTTACTCACTCGGTGTTTGTCCTGTTGAATAATGCTCCCCCTTGCTCCACGAATCGGCCATTCCTTCGAACCACAGCGACGACTCTCGTTGTTACCGACATCAATTAAAGAAATTTAAAAAAATCTTAATATTATATTTTACCTCGTGAACTAGAAGAGGCACTAAGATGGCCAGAACCATAGCTTTTGTTGGAAAATATGCTTCTAGCTGCTCCGAGGGGCGGCATCAATTAAAGAAATAGTAACAAAGCTGTGTCTATTTCAAAACTATCTACTTTCATTTTTATAACTTCTTTCCCTGTACTTTTATAAATCTTACTGTCTCGATAATGATACATTCTTGTAGTTGCAAGCGGCATCCCGTYCATGTGTTTCGTCCCAGWGTGCTCTTGGTTGTCGCAGAACCTAGAGATAACTCGATCGCAGACGCTTCAGGTGYGGGTAATCTCCGTCCCCCGGCTTGTATCGATTYGACGGGTTGTTGTATCTGTTTTGCATCGTCAGCAGCGGGGTTCCCGCGGCATCGGCCATCAGGTGGGCCTCAAGGGTCCGCAGCAGGCTCTTCTTCGTTGGCTGTTTCTTGGCRTCGTTGCATTCCACGTCGGTAGGACCGGTGCACAAGAGCTGCGTCCATTCTTCCATAAAGTTGGCAATCGAGGCCTCGATGGTGGAGGTTCGGGACGGCATTGGTTTCGGATCCTCGTCTTCCTTGGGTTCGTCCGGAGACGGATCCGGATAGGGATCGTAGCTACAGCAGGTGGCCGACGTTCGAACATRCCGAGAGGAAGCACTTTCTTCCTCGTCGTCGTCGCTGCAGCACGGAACGTCGGCGTCTTTCAAAATGTCGTCCACGAATGCGCAGACCTCCCTAATCGTCGGCCGGTCGCTCGAGTTAGGGGCCCATCCTCTGCCCAGGAGTTCCTGAATCGACCGCGGCCACTGGCGGTGGATCGTGGGTCGGATCCCCTCTGTGCAGACGAGCAGCTTGTGCAGCTGGGCGTCGTACATCTCAAAGGGCCTCTGCAGGGTGATCATGGAGTGGAGGACGATCGCCCACGAATACACGTCGGCCTTGAAGTTGTAGTACTGCCCGAGGTACACCTCCGGCGACATGTAGCGGCGCGTGCCTACGCCGGACATGTGGAAGACCTTGTCCTCCGGGGGGGACGCCTCGGGAACCTCCCGGCACAGGCCGAAATCAAAGAGCTGCACCAGGAGTTTTCCGGTCGGGCCGCTGTACAGGAGCCCGACGTTGTCCGGCTTCAGATCCCTGTACACAATGTCTCTCCCGTGCAGGTACTCCAGGGCGGAAGCGATCTGGCGGGCAATCTCCAGTTTCTCTCGGAAGTCTATCGTTCGGTTCGAATACATCATCTTTTGCTGCTCGGGTCCGGCCTGATACCTCCATTCCTGGATTTGTTGCGACAGCGTCGTGTTCAATCGGTCCAGTATCAGGAAAAAGCCGTCGTGTTTCCCGTTCCCGTACGCGCTCGAGCCCCCCACGGCACAGCCCCGGAGCTTGATGATGTTCGGGTGGTTAAATTTGGTCAGGTACATGGCTTCCATGACCAGGTCTCCGGCGGCGTGTATGAATCGTTTGCGGTCCGCCATCAGGTCCCGCCTCAGGTGCTTGATGACGTARTTGTACGGCTGGGTGGACTGRCACTGGTGGAATTGAAAGTTCCCCTCCAGCTGCAGGCACTGCACGYGTTCCTCTATCCCGGAAGGTTCCGGCCTCCCCTCGATGCAGTTGTTCTGGAGCCGTTCCCTCGCCGCCCGTTGCTCGGGGTCGACAAAGCCCTTGTCTTGCAGGTAAAACTTTTGGATCGTGTACACCTCCGAAAAGGCTCCGTTGCCCAGCATGTTCCACGAGGTTTGGATTTCGTGGCGGTGAAAGAGCGCCGGGCTGCCGCTGTGGGCTAWCGCACCCCCATCGGCGTCGCTTGATMCTTCCCGCCGTGGTTCCTGGAAGAGCCTGCAGTCGTTCGTCAGTCGCAGGACCTGCGATTCGATAAAGGCTTCGTTGCCGGTTTGGGACAGGGGATCGGTGCCGCCATTCACGGACGGCTGCTGGTTCTGAAACCAGGCCTGGTTCTTGTTCGATTTCTTGTCGATCATGTGGATGAGTTTCGAGGAATCGAAAACCCGGTGCTGCGGCTGGCGTTGCTCGATGGCCTGTTGTTGCTGTTGCTGTTGCTGTTGCTCCTGATGCTGCTCCCCCTGGACATACAGGGTAGATCCATCCTCGGAATCGACGGATGGATTGCGCTTCATCGTTGCTTGCTCACAACTCGCCACTGTTCGTTTGGTTTGGTTTGGCCTATGGGGAGCTGCAGCGGTGAACCTTCGCTGTTTCAATGCTTTGGTGAGGGCCTCTCTGCCGTTCTAGCCCGTAGCGAACATCTCCCGTCACAACGAGCAGCGAGCACCAGCTCTCCAGAACAAATATCAATTATTGCATACCCGTASCAATTTGTACGGGTACACGTACTAGGATACAGCGCTAGTTAGTTAGCAAGGAGGATTCTTTCCTCCCTGGGGGCGTTGCGATGATTTTTACCCGCGAACTATTTWTTGACCGCTGTACATTCTTACTACTCCCCGCGGTTTACAGATCTGTGCCAGTCTAGTCATGCGTTGGGAAAGCAGAAGAAAGATCTGTGTTTAAAGGAAGAAAAATGCCAAATAGAGACACCACATGGATTCACGATTGGATGGCCGGTAAAMAACCGTTAAATTTTGTAAAACCKYTTTAAACAGGGTCGCTCATTACTATTTCCCCACCGACGTTGTAGMCGTTATCAGACTTCCGGCCGGYACAAATATGAACGTCCGAGGCGCACCAGTCCATCGTCAAAAGCGTCCTTGTTTCAAAACTATCCTGGGGGCATAGGTATGTTCTCGATTTCGRCTTTCACTAGGTTATGAGTCTCATTTTTTTGGGAGCTACAGAATATTTTATCCTTCAGAGTTGCCCTGATCCGGAGCTGACTGCCATTCTTGTTGTTCCAGAYACTTTCCGTGTCTTGTTCCTACTACTACTAGGACAGAATGGGTGATTCCCGTTATTCTAGAATCTCTAGATTTGATAGACAGACAGACCAAAAATTTAGTAAAAATGACTCTAGACTTAGCGCGTTTAGAACTGGTTGAACTGACCCATCCTAAACACTCTACATTTAGAGAGGAATCCAAGAATAAAATTTCGAGTCCGTTGAACGACTCAACAGAAAGGCCCGCCAAAATTAAGACTTATTTCAAGAAAATTAAGACTCCGTTGTTGTAAACAGTAAGAGCAAGCAACAGCAAAAAGGCGCCTTTATTCACCATGGCGCCTCCTCTGTTAACAACAAGAATGGCACAAAGGCGCCTGCATCATAGAAAACAATGTCCTCTACGGCCGATTTAGTTCCTATTTTCTACTATTACCTCTCTCTGTTGTACCAAAGAGAGCAAGGAGAGGAGGAGGAGGCCGGCCATTGTCCCCCCATTCCCCACATTATTTTCCTTCTTAGCAGTAAGATGGTGGGTCAGGACGCCGGCAATGTTGTTGCTGCAAACAACGGCAACGCAAACAACAATGGCCGCAGAGCCGGTACAGTTAACTACTCTGAAGAAGAGCTAGAGAGCCTCATGGAGTTGATACTGGAGGTACTTCCAATAGATTCAGAACAGTGGGATACTGTTGTTGCCAGACACGCTGTAAAGTTTCCCTGTGGCAGGACAGTTGAAGACTGAAATCCTGATTCTCCCATCCGGTGCAAAGACAAACACACTGTTCACAAAGGTGTTTTCCTTCCAAGCATTGTAGAAGGCTCTCTGTTTGAACCAGTCCTCTGAGGCTTCAATGGCACTCTTTAGACCATCTGCAGCAGCCCAGACTCTTTTTTCTCCAAGCCGGGGATACTTTTCTCCAATTGCTTGAACATAAACATCCACTTCTTGCTCACTTGGGACACTGACCATGGCCTCCGGATGTTTGTGGAGTGCAAGAAGCATCACTCTTCTTGAAAACTTGAGCCACTTATACATCACTGTGGATGTTAAGCCAAAGGCCATTGCCATCGACCTTGCAACAGACCCTCTTGTCCTGTACCAGTAAAGGACCAGCCCTATTGCACAGACTGCATCCACCTCCCTTTTCTTCCCCTTGGGCTTCCCACTGGGGTAGCGAGGAACCTCCACGATCTCATTGTTGTTGTTGACAGTGTAGTTGTTCCATACGGGAGCAAAGACATCAACTAGCTCCCTGAACACTTTGTGGTCAATACCACAGCAGTTGAGTAGTGCTTGGTTGTCTCCTGAGTGGAAGAGATGGAGGAAGGGGGAATGGGCATATCTCCTGATTGCAATCCGTGGGGTTCTCCTATCCCTCCTTCGACGCTCCTCAGGAGAGAGCTTCTTCTTGTAACTTTGGTTATTCAGCTGAATGTACCAGTACATCGTAACGACCTCCACTACTCCCATCTTGCTAGGAGGAAACTGTGGTCTTTTAGTGTGTTTGTTGTCTGCTAATTAGCGTAGAACATGAATTCATTTCCTGGTATCGAATCAGAAATAATAAGCAGAAACTGAATTCATGTTTTACTCTAGTGAGAGTAAAACTATCGATGCAGCAAAGTATAGGTGCAAATTTTCATGTTTTTCTTAGTACCAAAGTGGCGCGCGCGCCTATTTTTAAAGTACATATAAGATTCCGGATTCCCATTAAGAGTGGATTGAAAGGCGGGATGTCTCTCAGTCTGTCCGTTGAAATTCTGATTCCCGTTATTCTAAATCCCTACTTTAGAGCGTTAGAGTTTTAGAATAACGGGAATCACCCAATAATGTCCTAAAAATATTTTGCATTAGCACTATTACAACGACTACTAGTTCTTGTCCTAGTGTGACTGACTTTTCATGCTGGTGGTGATTCTTTTTGTGCAATGATTTTGAACGGCAATCAATTCCAAGCTCTGTAATACCTCTATTATTACATGGTAATAGTATGCAAGCTTAAAATATTCCAGCATTTACTAGTATTAGTAATCGCAGCATAGCTCACAATATGGGCAATGWTATAACACCTACTCTTGCTGTTGTTGCTGACCCTAGGTATGGCAATCCATGCAAAGAAAAAATGATGTCGGATTTGAATTTGCTTATAATCGCTAGAGATACCAAGGATTCATTTTCAACGCAACAGAGAAAATTAATGCCATGCAGTTTCTATGAGCGCATTGCCTTTGAAAACTGCAATGTGCAACAGTGCATCAAAAACGAATCCTCCATTTGCAGCGGCGAGGAAAAATAAGGATTTTAATGTTCTTTAGGCATTCTCGATTGGTTTGAAACCATAGTCTGGATTCGCAACACACAAAACAAAGCGCAATATCGACAAATAGCGTTAGTGCAAATCGATTTTTGTCGCCAACACAACAACAAGAGCGGGGCATCCCACCCACGACTACTCCAAAAACGAAACCGTAATACKGYACTCACCATARTTTCCAGCGTTCATTCGGTTTTGATCTTCCTCCATGAGCTGTTCCATCGCCTTTTTCCACTCTTCGTTGATTGCACCTGCATCGGAGTCGGCGTTGATTTCGTAAACCATGCTCTGAGAATTTCTTCGCACCATTTCGGCAATCAAATCCTCAGGTGTTTTGCCTTGGGTTTCGGGCAAAACAAACAGACTGAAGAGGAAGGTCATGGCCAAGATGATTGCAAATGGAATGAACGAATAGGGGCCCAAGTAGGCATTGATGTAGGGGAATACCATCCCAACAATAAAGTTACACGCCCAGTTAAGCTGACTGCACAGACTCATCGCCACCGTAACGTATTTACCATCAAACATTTCAGCCACAATCAACCAAGGGATGGGTCCAAGACCAATCTCGAAACCAAACACATAAAGGTTCACTGCCAAAAGAGCAAAGATATTGCTCAAGATGCCCTTGAGAGCGAGAACAACGATAATGCAGGAAGCGAACATCAACCCAGACGACCATAAAATCAATGATCTTCGGCCGGTCGAGTCCATGATCAAAAGAGCAACATACGTAGCGAGTACGCTGTGATTTTGGATGAATTGAGTCATTTAAAAAGATCGTGAGTATTTCGCTCATTTGATGGGTACAAATGAATCACTGTATCGAAAACAGCAACTTACTTCACCGCACCAATGATAGTTGTTCCGACCAATGGATTGTCGATGACTCCTTCCAAAATGGATGTAGAATAGAARAAGATWGCATTGATCCCGGACAATTGTTGTGCCATCTGCAAAATCAGACAAGAGATCAATAGYTTGCGGCGTTTTCGATGGGATAAGATTTCTTTCAATGTGTCGGCGTCATGCCCCTCTTCGTGGTGCTGTGCAGATTCACCAATAATAAAATTTCCCACCTCTCGTTCAACATCCTGTTCGTTGCGCAGACCTCGTAGCTTCTTGATAATGTATCGTGCGCGCAAGGAATTGGGATCCCGATTCARGAGCCATCTCGGACTTTCCAGCAAGAACGGAGACAAAAGAAGCTGACCTACAGCGATTATAGCAGTGAATGAAAACATAACTCTCCATCCAGAGGGCGTGGCGAAMGGAAACGCGACAATATCTGCAAAAAGAATACCGACTACCAGTGCAAATTGGGTGAGCGTACCCAAAGTACCGCGAAGACTAGGAGGAGCTACCTCACCCAAGTATACCGGTACTAGTACCGTAGTGTAGCCCGATGCAAAACCAATAATGAAACGAGCTAAAATGATAGTCAGCATATCCTGAGCAACTGTTTCCAATCAATGGAGTAGCATCGAACATGTAGGACCGGAGAAACCACAGCAATTTAGAAAACAAGGATGAGAAAATAAATGACCGAGGTATTCGCGGGAAGAAATCTTAACAAATGCCTACCTGATTGAATCAAACCGCCCAGCAAAAAAATCCAGATCCCAATCAGCATCGCACCGCGTCTACCGCGTTTGTCGGCCAATTTTCCTCCCATTCCCGAACCAAATGGTCCTCCAATAGCAAATGCAGCCACAGCCAAAGCCCACAAGGTGATACTGTGTCCAGGAAAAACAACCTTTTCTGGGGCATTCATTACCGATGTGTTGTGCCCCACCAAAAACATGGACGCGGAAACGATAATGACGGTAAAGATCAATGGTGCAGTAACAACTTTCGAGTCTTCCATTTCATCCAAAATGAGCATTGTAGAACTGGCATGTCGGATGGTTTTATCCATTTCCGAAAGTCCTCKAATCGATGCCACGTCCAAGTCGGCCGCATAGTTAGCGAACGTACTAGCAACTTCTCGTTCCTTTTTTTGCAAACCGGGGATCGCCACAAAGGGTACCTGAGTGTACATCTCTTGCTGTCCCATTTGAGAGGGAGTCAAATTAGCCACTTGGCCATCCATAGTGGCGCTGTAACTCCGAGGYAGGGACTTGGTCAATTCCTCTCCAAGATGAACCTTAAAGTTTCCCATKGAAGAAGAGCCTCCTAGTTTACCAATTGTGTGACTTCGCACACTGCGGGCAAAATCGGAGGAATCGGTCATCAAATTCGAAAGCGTCTGTWGTTCATTTTCMCATYAGAGCATTGAAGGTGGCGTTTCGAGCGCCATTCCGTTATCGCAGTTTCACGRGCGGTAGTCGACAAACCATGAAAATAAACGAAGGCAGAGAGAATTGTTTGAACAAAAATTAATTGATAGGCGAATAAAGATTCCATTTCTATCAATTCCCTGCAATAGATGGATTTATCAAACGCTGCAACCGCTTACCTCCTCTCCATTCCAAGCATTATGCTGATCGGCATCCCTCTGCTTGTTCAGCAGTTTTGTGCTTTCATTRCTCGCCATCTCGACAAAAACGTCGGCCWAGTTGAGGGAGGTTGTGGGTGAGTACTGAATTGGTTATCCTATCAGCTCAGTCTCTTTTAGTTTGCAGACTGCCTTGTTCAATAAAGGAGAAGCGAGATGAACCGATATGGTCTAGCAAGGCTGATTTTGTGTTCTGYAACGTAYTTTGTACTRTATTGTAATCCGTAATCACACTCGTACTGCAGATACCGAGGAATGAGGGTGATTAATGATGATTGTTGATCACAAAAAAGCGTTCTCGAATTGTACTGGCAGGTAAGTCGGTTTTAGCTTGTTGGTAGTTGGTAGCGGTGTCACGAAGATACGTATTCGTACCCTCCTACTGTATTTAACATCCAAAATGCCGGCATCTGCACATCATCTGGAATCTGCAC